CGCCGCAGTAAGGCGGCGATCGTGGGAGCGGCGTACGGATGCCCGGCGAGGCGAGGTGGGTCTCGGCACCCTCCTCAGTGCTGCTGTCGAGCAGCGCTTTGTCTGGCGTTTTCCCCCTTTCTCTTCTTTTTCCCTTTTTTTTAAAATATATTTGTTTTTACGTGGAAGTGTACGGTGTTTCCTCTCTTTAAAATCCATGTGGGTTCTGTCTCCGGTAACCGGGAAGGGTCTAACACCGGATCGCACGCTCTCTTACATGCTCAATCCACACAGGTGTGCACTTTCATCAGTTTTCAGCTGCACGATGTCACTGATACTTGTCCCTGGGTTAATTTTAGCTATCGCTCTAAAGCACCGCATTTCTTTTTCCACTCAAAAGCGCTTCTGTCATAACCCTTGACAATACCTCTTGTTCGAGGAGTGAGATACCATCCGGTAAAGCTTTATACATTTAACATTCCTTCTATATGTGAGTAGAATGAGTAACCGCTTTTCCTTGCCCGTTTCTTTGTAGGGAGAAGGAGAAGTTTTAACCATCTTCCCATGGCATCTGACTTTTTTGAGGAGGAGGTAAGGTTAATGTCATGTAAAATTACCCTCTTTTTCTGATGTTCTACTAGTCTTGCTTCTGTAGGCGTACATTTTGGAAACTGTGGTGAGTTCATGCATACTTTCATGCGTTGCAACACAATACCAGAGCTGATTAAGAAACGGTAGCAATAGCACTCTTACGCCGTCAGGATTGTAAGTGTCTGTCCAACCGACATTCTCACTATGTTATGCCACTATTATATTCTTTGCAGTTTTAAAAGAACTGTAGATAATTCTTCAAGGTACTGAAACATTTAGCCTATAGTTCTATTGCTGTGGTTGTCACCTTTATATCAAATTTGAGACTCATTTCTTAAGGAAGTCTCTATTTTCTGCTTTATTTGCACATTGATAGCTCTACTGAATGACTAGTCACAGCAACTTTTTCCTCCGATAGAAGCGTATTAAGATGTGAAAGCCTTAGACTAAGCTGCTTTGCAGGACTTTTCAGCTCTTTGATTAAAGGGAAATAAGAAGTCTGTTTCAAGAGTCTTGTTTATGTAGTTCTATCGGTTCTATTAACAAATGTGTGGCTTGAGGATACATTTGCTGCTTCTCTTCCTTTTTACTGAAGGTACGTACTTTTGGAGGTATGGATAAGTTCTTGGTATCAGGTGTTTGTCTGCTTTGCAGCTGCTAGTGAAATTATATAAGTGCAAGTTGCTATTAAAATTCTGTACTTTATATATTTTTGTCATAATTTCTTGGAAGCTAAACCGTTAATGCAATAGAAGAAACATTTACCATTCAATTCTTACTTAACGATGGGTAGGATTTTCAGGTTGGCTGTGCGCTCTTTGCTTTATTTAAATTAAGGCTTGTGAATTTAAATTCAGCTTGTATAAATAAATAATTAAAGTCACTTTTCATAGCCTTCAATCTGATGGGCTGGTCGTGCAAAGCTGTTTAAAATGGTCTTTGCTTACTTTAGTAGTCGGACTCCAGTAGGGTTTTCGACATGAGGGGAACTTGGATTTGAGACGACTGCACAAAATGTGGTGACCCAAAATGTAGCAATATTTGAACTTGCATATTTGTTTTTCTACTCTGGTTTCATTTGCATAATTTCATTTAGGGTGGGCAAACATATGTGGTACAGCGTAAAACAGCTTAATAAATTAGTGCATGAATGTATAATAGGGATCAGCTGTGAATATTTTCTTTCTGGGAGGGGAAAAAGAGGCAGGGTGATCTTGAAAATAACAGCAAACTATATTTTAAAAGTACAGCCGTTGGTAGGCTCTAACTGTAAGTGGTTTGGTTGCAGGTGGCTTGTAGTGGATGGAGTTAAACTTGGGTATCTTGGATATGATACACCTTAATGTAATTAATAGCTCCTTTCTGTTGAAACTTTAAAATCTAACAATCCTGCTTTTATTGCAGTCTTTAAAGATCTAATTGTTCTTGTGTGTGTCTGAGATGTAAAACTTACTGCAAGGAGAGGCAACAGATTGGTTCCGTCATAGGATTTTGTTGGGGTTTTTTTGAGAGTACTTAAAAGATTATGATGGATAATGCTGTCTTGCCAAAGAATGCCGACACAGGTGTTCATCATTATCTTAATTAAGATCCTGAGAAAATGTCATCTTTCGGCATGAATTATGAAGGGAGATGCATTAGGAGATCATTTCAACTTTTTTTTTCTTTTTACAGGGGTAGATGAGAAGGAGGCTGTTTTCTGAAAACCTTTTTGATATTTCTTTATCAGAATACCTCACCTTAGACACTTACTGAATAATTTGTTTCTCCACTTCAATTTGTGAATATATTACCGAGAGATCTGTATGTGTTGTTAAAGGGAATCCTCTTAAAAAAAGAAACAAACAAAAATAATAAATAATAATCCGCCTCCCAGATACTCTGTTCTGTTTAAAGCTGTCCCTATAAACAAAATCCTGAGACTCAGATGGTAGTGGAAATTGCTGTTGGAAACGTCCGCTAAGCGATGTTTTATACAGTGTATTTAAAAGTATTAACAACTCATACTAATAATGGAGCAAAATAAATATATGTGAATATTTATCTTTCTAATAAAGCATGAAGAGAAAAAGATTTCCTTTTCTCACCTTTCCACTACTGTGGAAGTAAAACTTATTAGCGTGCAAAGAGGAGGGAGGGGCTTGTGTTTTTCTATGTTAAATCAATACGTTATTAGCTGAGCAAAAGCTAAAACAATGCATCTAAAATATTGGCTGAAGCATCGGCAGTAAAACTTAGGGGTGCTTTCCTGCAGATCTTACTCCTGTGAGTGTTGCTGCTGGCTTCCCTAAGATGAAGTGCTGGGAGTTACAGGGTCAGTACTTGCAGTGGAAGTGCCGGTGTCTGGTGGCTCTTAGCCTAGGTGAATGATCTCGAGAAGAGTTCTGCAAGACCCCCTTCACTTCTCGGTTGCTTCTTCTGCCTGCACTTACTTTGCCCAAGACTCTACTTGTCTACATGTTAGCACTCTCTGTGTTTGCACTCTGAGTCCGAGGTGTAAACTTGCGAACACCTAGAATAACTCTTCTTTTCTGTGTCTAGCAATTCGGTGTTAGGTAGCTTAGATAGACTTTTGTTTTTCTCGGCAAGCCTTTCTATGTAAAAACACTTTTTGTCTGCTAAAAGAAACCAGATTAACAGTCTCAGTCCTTTTTTAAATTGCATCAGCAAACCCGTTTAGTATGTGGAGTAAAACCATACACAGAAGTGCAGCTGGCAAGCCTTTTAAGCACGTACTTATTGTATTGAATGTGTAACTCCAAAGATCTTGACGGTATCATGGGAGAACCTGAAACTGTATTTCAGTTTCCTTGAAGTTTCCTGTAATTAACTTAAATAGCGCGATTTGCTTGAATTTGTTGGTATAATATGGACTAAGTTGAGAATGTCTTTAGGGTTTATTTTGCTTACAGAAATATTGCATATTTCTGTAAGCAAATGCAGAAAACAGATCTCCTAATGGTTGACTTTAGTGGAAAAAATTAAAAACTGCTCTTTTTCATGTCTAAACAAGTTTTTCACTTAAAGCAAGCCACATCTACTGTTAGTTGGCTCCTTATTGTGAAAGAGGAGCATCTCAGTGGGAAGGATGGCTGTGGCTCCTCATGGCATTTTATGGGACGTGCATGTGCCCATAGCTTTCTGTATGGTGGCAAATTCCCTTTTGACCGCATCCCATGCTCCCAGCATGGTGGGAGCTCCCGTAGCTGGAATCTGGCCGCCAGCGTGGGTGTTAGAGGTGGGTGACTTCTAATAGCAGTGTCATGTTCAAAAGGGTTTGTGTTTTATCTAGTTTACTTACATCTGTTTGCAGTCCTTATGACCAGTATCTGTGAGAGCTCAGCATTACCTCTCTGAGGAGAAATGTAAAGCCAGGTAGCCTTTCTAGCCTTACACCCAAAAAACTGTTTTCAACAGTTCATAGTTTCTGACTTTTATTAATACTAGAGCTTTTTAGATTCTGTTCCTTAATGCGGATAACGCAGATGCAAATGATTCTTAAAGCTGTTTTCTGCAGATTAAAGTGAATGTGTTTGTAGAGCCCGAATCTTCTTTTTTTTTAATATATAAATCATTGTTTGAGGAAAAAAGCAAGCCAGTCAGACCTTTCAAGGTGAATGCGGATCATCAACAGAGACTTTACTATACTAATAAACTTGTGACTGATCACTCTGCCACTCTTCCCAAAGGAGATGTATCTTCCTGAGCTCTTTTTTTCCCCAACAGAGCAAAAACTAGCTTTTTCTTTTCATAAGCACATCTTTTTCACAGTATTTCTCAGCATTTCTATCGCAGATCAAGAACCTAGTGTTTGCCTCTGAAATATTCTCTGCTGACATCTACAGAACTTTTCATGCCCTTCAGATTTAATTTTGTATAGAATAATGCATGGTATAATGTGTAGGTCCTCTGTTTTCAATTAGGCTGTATTAGGTAACTATGCTCTTCTTTCATATCCCGTAGCAAAGTATCAATATCCAGATGGCAGTGTGCTGGGATAAAATAGCTACAGGCTTGGCTGCTACTGTAAAGCCAAGAACTAACATTTTAGCCTGTGCGATAAATAAAACCGAGGTTGCAACTCTTGGTGTATTGGAGTTGCACTAAATAATGCTACAGTGCTGTTTATTACTGGTTTCATTGGATAATATGCAGCTATAAAACCTGCTTGAAGCTTTTATTAAGAATACTCTGTCATTATAAAAAGGTGCCTACAACTTCTTTATGATATTGATGGTGCAAAAATTACTTTGTTTGCCCTGACTTCCTGGCTGTTGTCTAGGGAGGACCTTACCCTCTCTCAGCTTCCGTAGGCATTAGATTCCATGAATGTCTCTTGGGAAGAGGACAGCTCTGTAGAGCCCAGGTTTCAAAGGTTATTTTTAAGGTATTTTTTGCTCTTATGCTTTTTTCTTAAGTTTATTTCAGTGTTTAATTTCTTGCTTCAGTTAAAATTCAGCTGATATTCTCTGTGGTATAAACTGTGCTACTGTGTCCCTAAGTAAAACTTAAACTGAGGTCACCCAGATAGCTGTCTGAGAGGAGGCTGCAGAATGGCTGAGAGACTTTTGTACTGGCTGAGAAGGTGATGGGAAGACTTGGTAGTAGGGAAGGGACTAGGAGTCTTGAATCCTGGGCTTGTTTTCTCGTTCAGTTTCTGGCACATCCTATGACCTAGGTTTGTTCACGTAACCTCTGTGCCTCTGTTTACCTAACTGGAACCCTCTGCTTTTCTCAGAAATGTTCAGATTTAAATTGGTGTCCATACTCATATAATTTATTAGACTGTTGTGCTTTTGAGCAAAAGCAAGTTATTAATGCTATTACTGATTCATTAGCTAAATGCCATTAAATTTCTGTATTCCACGGATCTTTGATTTCCATAGGCGCCTGTTTATGGTGTGCATCTTAGAAAATGCAGAACTGAACACCATCCAGTGGGATGTGGTACTAACATACTGTCTGTGGGATTTGACAAACATGCTAGATCAATGGGTGAAGAAACCCTTGCATTGCTCAGTCTGTAATCCTTGTTTATAAGAGAAACCTGCTGTCTAAATTAGTGACAAATACTATCTTTTTGTTCCATTACCCCATTCTCCATATGTCCATTTTTTGCCTTTATAGAATGCAGCCAAGAGCAGAAGCAGTGAGGTCCACGATGGTAAAAATGAATCCAGCAGTCCATCCTATCCTGTACCTGCCTGAGTACAGGAAGAGACCTCATACAAAGCCAGAATGCCTCTGGGCTTGCAGCTCTTTTTAACCATATTAAGTCCTATTCAGAGTTAATGGTAAGTAATTTGTTCTGTGTATGTTATGATTCATTAAGTAAGTCATTACAGTAGTGGCACTTCCCTTTGTGGTACTGGGTTCTGTCTCTGACAAAATTGACTACGTCAACTTTAGTCCTGTTTCTGTTAAGAAAATCGTGTGGTGCAGATGACAAGCATTGTAATATGCATGCTCTTTTTTTCTTCATTTTTTGTCTTCTCCAGATGAGCTCAGTGAGACTGGTCTAAGCAATGCTGAAGAAGGGAAGAACAGAGTTGGAAGGCAGGGTCTATTTCAAAGCAGGATTTTTCTTCTTTCCATAACACCCGAACATGAAGACTCTATAAACTTCATTAGGTAGAGTATTGATAATAGTGTAATATCAGTAATATTGCATGATATAATATTGCACTGCTTTATTGTTCAGTGATCATGTGGAGCTGCATTAAATAAATGAACATTTAGTGCCTTAAATGAACGTTATGAGTGAGAGCAGTAAATCGAGAAGGTGGGTACTAGAGGAAATACTACTAGCTTTTTTTAAGCCAGTCTTTTTTTTTTTTTTCAGCTCTTTCCATAACCTGTAGTTCTTTTGTTTCTTGAGAAAGATGGAACGTTCAACTTCTTAACCAGGAAGACTTCACAGTCCTCTTAGCTGTTATGGCATCTTAATGCTTTGTCCAGCAGAAAATAGCACTCATAGTGCTGACCCATGAACTCTCCATAAACTAACTGCAGTGCCATAGCATGTGCTGCTCTTTCTTCTTAGGGCTTCCCTTGTTGGAGAGTGGCTGCGAAATCTCTGCTGTGGCACAGCCCTCTGTGACCTCTTGCAGCCAAAGATGGAATTTGTGAATTTTTCTGTCTGGAACTTGTGGCAGCTCCCTCTTGAGCCCAATAGTTCTCCAATAGAGCAAGAAAAGATCTGACAATGTTGTCTGGGAGATGTGACTGACTTAATTATTATTAACATTTATTAAGTGCCTTACAATGGAGGGGAAGAGTCATTGCCTTCATTTTTACAAATAGGAGAACTAGCATGTAGGAAGAATGGATCTCTTCTATCTTCTGTGATTCTTGACCCACCTAATTAGGTGATTGTCACGAGAAATAACAACCTGGCTCAGGGGAATGGCACTGGGGAAAGATGCCGACATGTTCAGTATGGCACACCGCTTCTCCCTCCCAGAATTTCTTAATGTAGTAAGCAGGGCCTTTCCTCTGTGAGTGTCGGTTGGCCAGTGAGGAGATTTAAAAGGGCTGATGAGCCTGAGGCTGTCTCCCTACCGGATAGCTTTGTTATAGATCTCATCCAGGGGAAAAAGTGAGGTACTGCAACTAATTTCTAGGAGCTACTCTTGTTTTTAGCAATTACTCACCCTCTGCCTCCTCCCGCTTCCTTTCACCATAGAGTGGCCTTTCCCCAGGATAAGCTGATTCACTTCACGGCTGGTATTTGCAGTTTTCCTGCACTTAGCTAGCCTCTAGGCAGTAACTGTTTCTTCTGGGCTAAGACTTTAGTTTCTTTTTATAATAGTTTATTTTGCTAAGAAAGAGAATCTGTCCAGCTGCTACAAACAATAGTGGTTTTGATGTCTATCAATCAAGAGTTAGAGATGTGTGTTTTCCATGTAGAAGATAGACATTTAAAGCCTGCTTTAAAGGAGGGCAAACCTTGGAGAGGTTTACTTAGATGTACAATATGCCCTATTCTTTCATTTTTAAAAACAGTATTAAGGTTTTGTTGGTTTTTTTTTTTGCAAGAAAAGAGAAAATAATTTCATCTTTTTGATTGCATTCTTTTTCTTAGTTTCACAGTTGTGAGATAAATATTCAGAAATATGAGTTGGTAAGGTTAGTGTGATTAAAATGAATATGTGATAACGGGCTCTGCACATTAAAGATTAAGAGCTCAAATTATAGACTCCAGAGTGAAACACTCCATGAGCATTCACGAATTTTGTTTGCGCAAGGAATGCGGGCTTAGGCCCACGGTTGCAGTTGCACAACAATTCCATCCTGTCTGCTGCTTTTTTGTCTTGACTGATCTGCATAGAAGTCTCTCAAACACTGTAGTGTCAGGGTGAAAATGTAGTCTGGGGTGAGGTGGGGGGGCCAAATGAGGAAATAATTTCAGTCCAAGCCTTAGTGTTACTCTATAAAAATAGATTAGTTTTACACAAATGATTCACATTTACAAAGATCAGTTTATAGCATTTTGACTGCACAGTAGTTAATTCTTTATGTATAAATTGATCCTTTATACAAATGTAATTCCATATACAACAGTTAATCTCTTTGAGTGCAAGTTGAAAATATATTATCAATTAATTTATGTAGGTTATGACTTTCTTTCCCCTGTACTCTGCAGCAGTTACCTACACTAAAGTTGTCGGTGTGTGCTTAATGAAAACTAGATGTGAAATGTAATAAGTAGAGGAGAAAGCAGCATTGAAATCCTTATTGCTCTTAAAAAGACAAAGGTACCCCAGACAATTCTCCTTTCTTAATCTCTTGAGAATTTGATGCATAATTCTGTTATGAGCTATTTGGAGTGAATGAAATCGAAATATTTTCAGAAATAGTATTAGTACTAGATATTATTGCTCACCTTTTGTGAAGCCTAGTTTTGTTTTAAAATGCTTTGCGTTTTGAGAGGCTGATGATAGACAATCTTCCATTGAGAAAGAAAAGCATCTTGGACTTCCGTGGAGAGACAAGCCTAGCTGTTACAGCTGTGAAATTTGCTAATGTTGCAACCATTTAAATAAAGTGTTTGTTTACATAACAGCAATGGCATTTCTCCTCCTCTTCCTTGCGGTTTTGTCCAACTAGATGTTATGAGTGGCAGTTGCAGTGACTGCTAAGTGTTTAAATGATGACATCATTATGTGAAGTGATTTTGAAATGAGAGATTCCAGCCAAGAATTACATCTGCTCTCATCTCCTTCAAATCATACTCTCTGGCTGTGCAGATTATGATTGATTTGTTTGTGACAGATTGCAGGAAACAGCCATTGATTTTTCAATATTTTACCTTAAAATTATTTACAGTTGTAACCAAGGGGAGGTATTTCCATGGGCTGTCAGCCCCTGAAAGACTGGGATAATATTCCCTGCTCCCTGACAAGACAAATTACCCGTAATGAGTGCAGTAGCTGAAGGGTATACTTTTATTTTAAAATATGTCAATAACCCCAGTGACTAAACGAATATTGATTCAGCATAATGAAGCCTGAGTAATGTGAAAATGAGCTCTTCAAGGAGCATGGTAAAGACTTTCTTTTTAGCTTGTAGCAAGAAGCTTTTCATTCTTTACTGTTAGGTAGTTGAAATGTGCAGTCTTAAACAAGTCATCCTTAAACAGTAGTAATATGTGGAATAATGTAACAAAAGAACTTGGGTTTTTTTCTGTTTTTTTTTTTTTCTTTTTTTCCCAAGTTCTTTTTCTTCAATGATGTGTTTCAGCAGATCAGACATTTAAAGAGAAAAATGCAAGTTATCCAGGGCAGAGATAGAATTGCTGTCGGTGTTAATGTCTTTTGCAATAATATTCTTCAGCCAGCCTAATGGCATTTTTAAAGTGGATTCTGCATATATGGGCATGGAAATGTATCTAAATAAACTGTAGATTTAATTTCATATTACTGACTTCTTGGACATATTGATGTGTGTTCTATGTGATCGGTCTAATATTCTTGTCCTTTAACAATTTAGAATAGCTGGTTTATGAGAACCTAGATATACTGTGTTATAAAACTTAGTTACCGTAGTGCGCATTTTTCTTTCCGGTGCCTTGTAACACTGCATGTTTCTTACCAAATGAGAATTTTCAAGTAGTAATTCATTTAAATTACAGTAATTTATGCAGTGCCATAGGTGTGGTGTGGAAAAGCATCAAATAGATTAATACGGATGTACTTCAATTGTTCGGGGTAAGGATTAGATTAAAGACCATGTTGAGGTACAATTTTTTTAACATTAAAAATATCGAACGCTGAAAAAAATTATCATCTGAAAGGATCAGTTTGTCATTTGTATTCGAGGGCATTGTGCAACATTGGGAAGGCTCTGCAAGAGCACTGGGTATAAATAGCTGTGTAATCCAGACATGGGCAAAAAGATATATTCTTGAGGTGTTTGTGTATAATGTGTCAATTATGAAATAATGTCATAGCCAGAAGCATTTAGTGAGCATGTTTGGGCACGAAGACGACTTTCCTTATTTTCTGAGGACTGACTTCAATTGCATCCAACTAGCTTGTGAAAATCTTCAGAAGGATGTTTTCCTATCAGCACACAGGTGATTTTTCCAAATGTCATTCCTTTAGCACAGCTAGAAAGTATTTCAGGAGGCACTTGAGAACCTGTGGCATTGAGAGTTAAATGGCAACGCTGGAGTGTGAGATATGTTCCTCTTTTTGATTTGTTAATTTTCAGAAAAATGTGATGTACATTTGAGCAGGTTACAACTGTAAATAATTGTGGTTTTGAGAGGGCTTGTGCGTAACACCTGGGATTCGCAAAATATTGGAGAATCATTAATGGTGAGGGAGTAATAACCTCAAATATATAGCAGTAACAACAGGAGAATTTGGGGCTCTTGGAAATTAAGGTTCAACTGGTAACATTTAACTGCTCAGTGGTATTTTACACATCCCAAGTTCTCTGCCTGTTCTCTTTGTTTCGGTACCTTTTGTTTCTTTGGCCAACAGCAGGAGGTGGGAAGGGAAGGTCCTCTTTCAGTAGCTTTCCCACAGTAGCGAGGAAGAGGGAGACTGTTCAGGGCTGGGTGCCAGTTCTGATGCAGACTGAAGGGCAAATAAATGTTTGTTTTAACTACATCTCCTTTTCCTGAATAACACTGTATGAGCTCAGTGGTACCAAACTGAACAAAAGCGGATACTGCTGGAGATACTGCTGACAGCTAAACCGAAGTGGGCTCTGCTTGCAAGCCATTGGCTTGTTTCACTTGCAAGACAGGTAACATCTCTTGCTTTGCTGCCTTTCCCAAAGACGAGTTTGCTTATTAAATACCAGCCTGCCTGGCATTCTGGCTCAGGCCTGAACTGTGTTCTTGGCACTAATGGCAAATGGTGCATTCTCGGCTGCGGGAAGCTGACGAATGGCCTGCAAGCTTTGTGGGTGATACCAGACCTTTCTGGTGATGCTACCTTGGAAGCTCTTAAGTTTATTCACACATCTCCTTTTAGTGTTAGAACTGCTACAATTGCTAGTGCACTTTCAGGTGACTATGGAGGAGAAAAAAAACCCAGAACAAACACAGCCCCAAATCATTAATCAGTTAAAAGTTCTTGTGGCATTCGGGATCTCCTAGGAGCAGAACATAAACCCAATTGCTGTTCAGTTAGGTAAAAGTAAAAGCAGAAAACACTCTGAAATGAAGGTCACGGGTAAGAACAGAGCAACCTCCTCTGTGGCGGAGAAGAGGCTGTTGGTAAATCATGAAGGGCTAATATTTAGGGGTCATATGTCCCTCGACACTTGGGGACTTGCAAATTTTGACCCATTTCAGTTCATTTCAGGCCTGACATGAAGACACCGTCACAGTATGTGCTTGTAGTGGGAAGGTGGTGCAGTGTTAATGGTGTGGGTGTTTTTGTGTTGTGAACAGTTCAGATCTCTATACCTATCTAACTGTCAGATTCCACTATGAATAAGGTGGCAATCAAAACCAATGGTTGATTTTTTTTTTTCTGTTTTCCTATTTATTCCGCCTCTGTGTTCTCTGCTCTGCAGATAAACTATGAACTTTTTTTAGTTGATGGAAGGGGTGTGGGAGAGGGGAGGGCGAATGTAGGTGATGGAAATCATGCTTACTGGCTAAGCCTTCCCCCCCCCCTCAATTTGTTTGTTTGAAACCTAAGAACTAATATGTGGTGGAACCTGAATCAGAGCAGTCCACAAGTGGGCAGACAGTAGTATGTAGAATTTGCTAATCTAAATGTCATGGTTGAACCCAATTCTTTGTGCCCTAAATGACACATGTTGAAGTTGTTTCTTTTTTTTTTAATTTATGAACAAATAATTGCTTTTATCAAAAGCAATTCCATATATGCAGAATAGTCACATTTTCTTGGAATGACCGTATTATGTATTAAAAACTTTCACTAACTTGAGTGCTGATAATATTGCAGCATGTTCGGTATGGTGGCATATGCTTTATGGTGAGCTGTTAGAGGGAGATAACCCTAAAAAAATATGAGGAGGCTTTGAGAGTCTTGCCTAACTGCAATGGTTAAAGAGGCATGGCTGACTTAATGCATGAGTGTTGAAATCTGTGCCTGGAATTATGGAGACAAGTTAAGAAACATGAACTGAATTGATCGTTGATTATTTCCCTTTGTAAATGCTGGGAAAAGATGTGTTATGCTTTGCTGTGGCCTTTAAGGAGGGTCCACAGTGTCCTTGTTTTGTTTTGTTTTGTTAACTTCTCTTTTAATATGAAGTGTCATTCCCAAAATGAAGTAATGTCCTTGGGCTGGTGGCAACAGCTGGAGTTGCAGAATTCATAAATAATTCAGAGAGGGATAAAGGGTAGGGGATTTTTTTGTCATTTGAATCTTTATTATGTGCACACATTTCATTTTAGATATGGCATCATTTGAATTCATTCGGTATGATGATTGCACTGACCTGTCATATTTATTTTGATGTCCCTTTGAAGGACCATATGCTCTGTCCTCGGCACGAAAAAGGATGCAAGTTGCTAACCGAAAAGGCAGCTACGTTCCTGTAGGGATGAAGACCCTCGCTTCCCATTGTCGTGTCAGTAGATGTACAGCTGCAGTGCAGTAGAAGAAAGTGTAGTTGTTAGCGCAGTGACTAAATGGCAGTGTAGTCTAGCAAAAGGTGGAAGAAAAGGGCAAAACCCGTTTGCATCAAGGTGTTGTATGGCATTAAAAACTCAGCTGTCGCTGAGGGCCAGTTGGTGTGAGGAACCTGGCATGTGGAAGATGGAAAAGATTAAAGCCAGTTAGAAATCTGCCAATGTGGAGGTGTGCCACGGTAGCTTTAATATGGGAATACAATTAATTACTTTGTATGTTGGAAGTGGGGTTGCCATGCACACAGCCTTCCGGGGATGCACGGCAGTTAGTTTGGTTATGCAAGGCTCAGGTCTTTTTCTTTGACCAATCCATGCCCTCCTTTCCTCTTAAAGAAGCTGCTTGCTTAGCCAAACAAAAATCTTGGATAATGGTTTTTGGGAAGATGCACAGTTGTAGTTTTTCCTCTTCGCTAATTCTGTTGTAACCATTGCATCTGGTCCTTCGCTTATTTCAGTGGTATGTTTCCGTGAACAAGTGGTGTATTTTCCAGAAGTTACAGAGAAATCTACCAGTTTCAAGTTCAACCATGGCCCATAAGTAATGAACTGCATGATAATGAGTAATGTCTGATTCCTACTGGCGAATGCACTGGCTGGTATTAGCAATTCATAGTTGGTGGATAACAGGACCTTGTGGATGTTACCTTTGTGTGCACTACTAACGTGATAGGATGCAACCACTACGGTATTTTCATGGTATAAGGTGTAATTGCAGCAGCGAGTGGTGATTTGTATGAAGTTGATGGTCCATTGTGCTCATGCCAGTGGCAGAAGGAAGGCAATTAAGTGCAATACAATAACTAGAAGCTATGAATGCGAATGGTAACTGTATGCAAAATTGTTTCTTTTCTAGATCCTGCCATCAATGACTGAGCCTCCTTGAAATCTTCTTATCAGTTACTGCCAAGATGAGAAGGATAACAGGAAGGAGGAGTGCTTAAGTGGTTTTAATGACGGTTAATTTCATCTATTTATCAAATGACAGGTTGTTTTTTCCTCAAAACTCAATTGTCATGACAAGATGCTTTTGGAAGTCATCTTTGTAAAATAAAACTGACAATTTTTAGGCTACAAAGAGCTATTGTATCTTTCTATACAATGTTGTCATTATGGTAAACCACTGGAAGGTCTTTATTTTTGAAGTAATTTAACTTGCATACTTCATTAATTTATTTGAATGTCTGTTGAATGCCATGTGAAAAGTTTCTTGCCAGAGTTCTTTTATTCAATGGAATAGTTATTCTTACAATGCTCAATTTATTATTGTCTAAATTACTGTTGCTTTAGCCTCCTGTAAAAATGTTTCTTTTTAGTAATTCTTAAATAAGGAATGAATGAGGTTTTGTCCCCTTCGTGTTTTGATCGGTGTATTTTTTCCTTTCAGTGAAAGCTTCTTCAGTTTTCAGAATTACACTGTTGCAAAGAAAGGTGCTTTTGCTTTTTCTGCTTTTTTCTTCCAACAGAAAATGTCTTTTGTGCAATGATTTTTTTTAATATGTACACTGCCAAGACGCAATTACTGGAAGGAGAGACAGAAGCTGTTGGGAATGTCATGTTATGCTAAATTAAGAATTATTAGCTCTTACTTTCTCTGCAATCTCTTCGACTAGAACTCGACCTATTGCGTCTGGCTTATACTTTGACTCTAGTGGAACTAATGCGTCCTTGGAGTAGCATTTTAGAGTAACTTCAGATTCATATTTTTTTCACAAGTCTGCTTTAAACTGCTGGGATTAACTTCAGAGAAGGCAAGAGATACAGCCTCCTTTTGTCAGCAGCTGTGCTGGTTAAGGAAGGAGGCTTCATGCACACTTGCTTGCTCAGCCTCTCCCGGAGGTTATTGCCCTTGCTAGGGAAGCAAGCTGAACTGTTTCCCTGAGCCCACCCAGGCTTACTTCAGCCAAAGTTAACCATGTTATCAAGTATTAGTTAACTAGCACCCTGGGTAATTTTGATGAAGGGGCAGGGAATGCACAGACCAGCTGCACAGGCAGCGTATCTGGGAGGGCGGTGTGTTGACAAGCGGGTTATTGAGGAGCTGGTGGTGGTGTAGTCTTTTCAGCAGGTGCAGTTACATCTCTAAGATGTGGTAAAAATCGGACGTGTTAGAAAGCTGTGCAGTTCTGTCATGTATAATATTCACATTTCGGGGACATACTGGATAATATAAAATAAACCTGTGCTCTTTGACTTAGTCCTTGTGCTTGCCAGTGTGAGTGGAGAGAGATGGTGTGAGTGTGTGTAGGTGACAGGACACCAATTTCAGGAAAATGTATCTGGTCAAGGTGCGTGAATGGTACAAATGTTTCCATTATCTAGAGAACACACTGTTGTGCTGTACTCATCAAAGAGGCTGCCTCAACCAACACATGTCTCAGGAGCCCTGTTTTTGACACGAGCTGCTTTTAGCGAAGAGAGTAGAACACCTCCAGCAGGAGAGGCCACCCCATCCACTGCTGCTTCTCTGTCCGATGTTGCATCAGTAGATGCTGGAGTCTGGTGAGGCATCCAAGCTCTTGACGTTCCCTGTGCCAAAATTAGAACAGTATGGATGATCTCTAGTATTGGAAGGCATACTGAATAAAACAGTGCACTAAACAGCTCCTTCAACACTGACCCTTCTTGCGAGAAGGCTGTGGAGTGTAGGTGCTGTCCCACAGACAGCTTGGGCATACAAAGAACTAAGAGGCTTTCTGATCCGTCAGAAACCTGAGGGCAGCAACACTGCTTGCGTCTCCTTTTGGGGCACCGCTAGATGAAAATAACTCGGTTCAGTCGCAGAAAGGACTGTACCTCAGCTCAGCTGGCGTTGCATCTGATACGTTTTAACTGGCCCTATGCTAAAGAATGAGGAAGTATGCACTGGCCTCTCTTACGTGCCATATGCAAGGGAGGAAAATAATGTACTACGTCTAGAAAGCAACTGGTGTGTAAGGGGAAGGTGCTGCTTTGCAGGCAAAGAACCGCCTCCTCTGGCTGGTTTATCCTCAGCAGCACTACCATCAGTGCCTTCAGACCGGAGCCCACATCTGCTGTTCCCTGAACTGTGGGTCTGAAAGACAGTGACAAGAAGAGATGAGGCATGGCGGGTCTTAGGACTAAGGCTTATAAAGAGATTTGGGAACGTGCACAAACTTCGAAGCCGCTAATATTTTAAAATCATAGGTAAAAAAGAAGTAGATATGATATGACAGAGTGTGAAACCTACTGCTTTTCTGCCAAGTTTTGAGTTAACTTGGCTATGTACTGCTGTATATTGAGAAAATGTTGGACTCTTCAGTCAAACTCTTTCTTACCCTTGTTAGCCTATAACGCAGTGTAGTGCTTGGTGTGTGCATAGTTCAAGGAGGTAAAGCGCCAACCACATAGTTTCCAAAATCCTCAACTTGCCCCTGACCCAATCTCCGCAGCTCTACGGTGAAGGCGGGTGCGGCTCCAGGTATGAGAGCTGTGCCCTGCGCCGTCAGCCACGGCTGAGCTCTCGGCGTCTGTGCCGAGTTCAGAAGTGATGTACCTCCTCCAAAGGACTGCCAAATGTCTCCCCTGACCGTGAGCTAAGGGGAAATGACCCTCCACAGCTCTTTGAGACAGCCCATAATTCATATAATTCTTTTATCTTAATACGGACTATTGTAGTACCGAGGTTAAAATATTTAATGAAATGCTTGTGATTGCCTAATAATTTTTTTGCCTGCGTAAGTGGTAATACATAGTTAAACTAGTATTGCAAAATAACATATGTCTTATGTACAGCACTGTCATGGATATGTTGTGCCGATGAGTAAAATTTTACGTCCAAGCACTTAAAATGATCAAATGCTATAGTTAAGACTGTCATACTGTTTATGTAGCGCTAAAAAGAAAACAAAATACAATTTCAGAGCAGACAGATTTTTTTCTTATAAACACTCCAAATAATAGGTTGGTTTCAACTAGACTTCCTGGCTCTTCGGTGATTGCCGCATTCGGTATGAATCTATCAGGATCCCACGCATAATCATGTGTTTATTATTATAAACACATGATTTCTATGTATGTTCTCCACAAATATGTTGGACAAAACATAGTTTACCTTCTTAAGTGGTACTATACGGTTACTTTCTAATTCCTTTAACTTCAGTTCAAACTTGGTTGAATAAAATGTGCATTCCTGAAAACAATCTTTACATCTGTAATGTGACAAGTTGATTTTATACGACTGTTTTCATACTCCAGACATAGCAAAACATTTTCAAGGCAGTATGTGTTGACAATATACAGAGATAAAAATCAGTTAATGACAAACTCTAAGGTGCAAACTTTTAATAAGAGCAATGAATCATTAGAAATTATTAGAAAGGGAATAGCAGATTTTCTATCTTTTGAATGAAGATGAAATGTTTTTATAGAGGTATATGCTTGAACAAATGGCTGGGTGGGGTAGAAGAATTCCTCATGGGCTTCTGTGGCTTTTGCTACGCCTGGGGTCAGACTGGGTCCTTTTGGCTTGGAAGGGAGGGAGGCATCTTGGTGTAACAAGTATCCTCACAGCATAGCAGCTTCTGCTGAAAAGTTACTCAAAGTTACTTACACTTCTCTTTAAATAAAGATCTGGGGGGGGGGGGGGGGCCGTCGCTTAACTACGTTGGCAAGGTTCCTGTCTCCTAACACTGTGCCTTTTCCAAAGATCCTCTTTCACCTGACGGCTTGGTTCTGCAGTGTTACGTTTCATTGGCTTTAGGTGGGTTTCTTCGTTCATCCATCCTTCTCCCCCCCTCCCCCCGCCACATTAATCAAACAGCACACGAACCTTTTTTTTTTCAGAGCAAATGTCTTCTACAAAGTGTATACTTCTACAAAGTGTAATGTTGCCTTGCTGCTAGAAATAATTATTAGGTTTAAAATAATCTGACAGCATCCTGCTGTGTATAAATTAGGTTTGTTCTCTATTAAGATTAGTTAGCTGGCACCCATTCACTAGCACGTTACAAAAAAATGATCGCAAGTTGATTGCATCCGGTTATCTGCCTTTTTTCTTTTTAATGGGCTTTTTGTTGCTGTGCTGTCACCAAGGTTGAAATAAATGTGTGCAAGTCGTACGTTTCCAAGTTCTTTACAGCCTGGGGAGATGATGTTGGCTCTCCTGTACCATGAAAAGACTCGGAGGCATAAGCGTTTGGAGAAGGGGAGAGGTTGTCTGCACTTAGATTTCTGAATCTTGTGCACCTTTGGTTTTGGCTAGTGGGGATATTTTCTGCTCTATGGCAAGCAATATGTTACCACTGAAGTCCAAAATGCCAGGTATAATTAGCTCATGTGTTTAAATAGGTGGTGTTATTTTTTAACTTGTATGTACTAGCCTGTTTTCATGCAGAAGTACATATTTTACCTGGGAAGAACGCTGTGTGTATCAGAAAAAGCAGAAAAATTATTTAAAGTTACGTGCTGGTGTTTAAGATTTTAAAAATAACCACGAGGTCTTTATTTCTTTGTTTACAATTGATTAGGGTTAGAATTTTAAAAGCTTAGTGCTGACTATAAGTGCTTTACAGTCAGTCGCTGAGAATTACGGGCTTGGCATGACTCACGTTTTTGTCCTTCAGTATATCCATTATTGTTAGATGCTGAGTAGTCATTGCACATAGATGACTGATTTTTGGGGGTATTTTACATTTTTACATGTTCGGAAAAAGACTTCATTAGAGCAGCTGCTGGGTGAGTGGGGTAATTACAGAACTGTACTGCTTTTATTGAAGTTGACACATGCTGCACATTCCTTAAAACTCAGTATGTGAGCAGAACGTTTCCAGGATTTATTGAAGTCAGACACCTAGAGATACTGGGGAGCTTTTAATAGTAGTAAAGATAACTTCAAGTTTTACACCGTTACATAAATCTGTCTTTAACAAGAGAGCTATCATTGCAATACATTGCTCGTGTTCTTCATAGTTTGTGCATGTGTTGTTATGTATGCACATGCACACCGACGCACAAATGCTTAAGACCTGAGCACTTTTATTTGACAGTGATTGTATACTCTATTTAGTACTTACTTGGAAAAAAGCAGTGTTGTAATGCTGACTGAGAATCTTAATTTGCTTGGTGCCAAAAGAAATCTGCAGTTTATTGATTTTCTTTTTAATTTTTTTCTTTAACTGAAATGCAATCCTGCTTAGTTTGAATTGCAGCTCTTAGTGTGTGAGTGTCTTGGTGTAGCAAGTAAGGAATCTTACTTAACGTAAACTGAGGCTTGGTTTCATTTTAACTAGTATGATGAGTGCAATGTCCCGCATGCATAACACTTTGCAAGTTGTGAAAAAAATAGACTTGTAATTACAACACACGGTGCCAAACACGTTATAAATGATTGCAGCTCTTAGTGTGTGAGTGTCTTGGTGTAGCAAGTAAGGAATCTTACTTAACGTAAACTGAGGCTTGGTTTCATTTTAACTA